GTACCTGCTAACAGCTCCCACTGCTTGAGCAATATTTGGTCTGGTACAAACCATGACATACATTAGACTTCCAATTGTTGAGGCATACGGCACCTTCACCATGTGTGCACGTTCTTCCTCCGTCTTTGGTGACTGTTCTTTGGAGAGTCTAAAATGAACACCTAAAGGTGTACTTACTGGTTTAACATCTTGCATGTTGAACCTGGAGAGTACTTTGTTGATGTACTCAGCCTGTGATAACATCAAAGTCCCCGACTTTGTGTCTCTCTTAATCTTCATCCCAAGAATCTACTTTGCAGCGCCCAGATCCTTCATAGCAAACTGCTTCGACAATTTTTGCTTCAAGTTTATAATCTCTTGCATGTATGAGCCTGCAACGAGCATGTCATCAACGTACAACAATAAAATAATGAAGCTATTGTCGAACCTCTTGATGTAGCAACAATGATCTATTTGGCATCTGGTAAAACCACTGCTACTCATGAAACTATCGAACTTCTTTTACCATTGTCTAGGAGCTTGTTTTAAACCATACAAGCTCTTCTTCAACCTGCATACCAGGTTTTTCTTGCCTGCCTCTATGAAGCCTTCTGGCTGCCTCATATAGATTTCTTCCTCCAAATCACCATGAAGGAAAGTTGTCTTTACATCTAACTGCTCAAGATGTAAATTCTCTGCAGCTACAATTTTCAACACCAGTCTTATTGTGGACAATTTTACGACTGGAGAGAAAATTTCATTGTAGTCAATACCTTCTTTTTGCTGAAAACCTTTGACAACCAATTTTGCTTTATAGCGTTTGCTCCCATCATGCTCTTCTTTGATCTTGTAAATCCACTTGTTGTGGAGCGTTTTCTTACCTGGTGGTAATTCAGCTAATTCCCACGTCTAATTTGACATAAGCGAGTCCATATCATCTTTCATGGAAGACTCCCACTTGACTGAATCCTCCACTTGCATTGCTTCATCATAGCACTCTGGTTCACCATTGTCAGTCAGCAACAAGTAGTGCAAAGAAGGAGAATACCGTTGGGTTGGTTTAGGAATTCTGGAGGAGCGTCTTAGTTCCGGTGTGCCTGGTTCTTCTTGAACTGCTTCAGGACTGATCTGAACATCATTTCCAGAAATCTCCTCGAACTCAGCAAATTTCTTTGTTTCAGCTTCGATGTTTGAGCTACTTGATTCTATGGTTGATCTATCTTTGTACATCACATTCTCATTGAAAATGACATCTCTGCTTCTGATAATCTTTCGATTTTCGTAGTCCCAAAATCGGTAATCGAACTCATCACCACCATAACCAACAAAGACACATTTGTTGGACTTGGCATCAAGTTTACTTCTTTCAGCAGAGTTTATGTGTACATAAGAAATACAACCAAACACTCTTAAGTGTGAAATGTTTATTTCTTTCTTGCTCCAAACTTCCTCTGGTATTCTGCCATCCAAAGGAACCGAGGGCCCAAGGTTGATCAAGTAAGCTGCAGTGTTGATAGCTTCACCCCATAGAAGTTTGGGCAATCCGGCATGTATCCTCATGCTTCTGGCACGTTCATTCAGAGTTATGTTCATGCGCTCTGCTACGTCATTCTGCTGCGGTGTCATGGGAACTGTTGTCTCCATCTTGATCCCATTGTTTGTGCAGAAATCTCTGAATCTACGATTTATGTACTCTCCTCCATTGTCAGACCTCAACCGCTTGACTTTCAGACAAATCTCATTTTCCACCATGGCCTTCCATTTTCTGAAGGTATCAAAGACTTCTGATTTATTCTTCATAAAATAAACCCACACATTCCTTGTAGAATCATCGATGAAGGTGACATAATATAGCGAGCCTGCAAGAGATGGAACTGGAGATGGTCCCCATACATCAGTATGAACCAACTCTAACTTTTTAGCCTTGGGTGTCTTACCAATCTTTGCAAAGCTGACTTTCTTTTGTTTTCCAAAGATGCAATCCTCGCATAGTCCGACATCTACATTCTTTAGATCCGGCAGCTTCCCTTTTGACAAAAGTGTCTTCATCACTTTCTCACTCATGTGACCAAGCCTTTGGTGTCATAGGTTTAATTTTCTATTAGCATCTGCGGCTGTAATGACATTCTCTAAATTTGAGGTTACATAGAGAGTACCAGTTTTCTTACCACGAGCAATGATGAGTGCTCCTTTGGTAATCTTCCATTCACAGCCTGAAAAGGTTGTGCTATATCCTTCTCCATCAAGCTGTCAAACAAAAATCAGATTTCTTTTGAGGCTAGGAATATGTCTCACTCCTTTCAGCGTCCAGGTGGTCCGGTTTGGCAACTTTAGTCGGATGTCTCCTTTTCCGACGATCTTCAAGGTTTCATCATCAGCTAGATGAACCTTCCCAAAATCACCACTGACATAATTTTCCATGATTTCTCGGCATGGGGTGGAGTGGAAAGATGCCCCTGAATCCAAGATCCATGATTTAATCGGACTGTTGACGCTTAGAATCATGGCATCACCTGTCTCCTCTGTCACGTTGGCAGATTCCTGTGCGCCGATATTTTTCTTCAGTGCTCGGCAATCTCTTTTAAAATGACCCTTCTTGCCGCAATTATAACAGGTAAAATCTTTCTTTCCCGTTCTTGATTTTCCCGTTCTGGATTTCGATCTGCCTCGGTTTGAATTTCTTTCTAAAGGTCTCCCTCTAGACTCCGTGTGCAAGGCTGAGGAGGTTGATGCTTCACCCGATTCTCTTCGTCGAATTTCTTCACCCGATTCTCTTCGTCGAATTTCTTCACTCAATACCAGATCCAGAACATCGTCGAATTTTAATTTACTATTTTCCAACGAGCTGCTGACTGCTGTAACAGTAGCATTCCAACTGTCTGGTAGAGATGATAAGAGAATTAAAGCTCGAACTTCATCATCAAATTCAATTTCCACGGAACTCAAATGAGTTGTGATTGTGTTGAGTTCATTTAGGTGTTGTGCCATTGATGCCCCTTCCGTCATCCACAAATTGAATAATCGCCTCATCAAGTGCACTTTGTTTGAGGCTGATGGCTTCTCATACATACTGGAGAGAGAGGCCATAAGACCCGCCGTGGTCTTTTTCTTTGCTATGTTGAAAGCAACATTGCGAGATAACGTCAGTCGGATAACTCCGAGGGCTTGTCTGTAGAGAAGAGCTCAGTCTTCATTCTTCATGCCCTCTGGTTGCTTTCCTAAGAGAGGTTGATATAGATTTTTCTGGTACAAAAAATCTTCAATCGGCATCTTCCAAAAGCCAAAGTCCGCACCATCGAACTTTTCAATTTTCACCTTCCCTTTGTCTGCAGCCATCGCTCCCACTCGAATCTGGTTTCGTTTGGATCGTTTCTGACAATTCTTGCGAACCACCGTGTATTAGAACACCTCCGTCGACAAGCTTGTATCGCCGACAAAATTTTTTACTATTCACGAAATTCTTTATTCACATGAATAGTAATGAATAGTAACCTCACAAAAAATTGACAAAATTCACAACCAAAAGCTCTGATGTCAGTTGTTGGGAAATAAACCGAGTACAAGTAATTTCCCTATAACCAGATTAATGAGAATGCGAAATAAAAGCGGAAAAATAATACCGAAATTGATAACGGAGTTCAGCCAATTTGCTTACGTCTCCGGACTGCTACAGATCTTTTACTAAAAGAGAAAATTTACAGGTGTTTACAAAACACTCACTACTCACAAGAAAGCTCTCTAGTATTGGGAGAAAGAAATGATTTTTTGGGATAGTTTTGAAGCTAAATGAGCTAGGGTATTTATAGTTGAAACTTAAGGACTTAATCATGTAAATACCCTAAAGTCTAGTGATTAATTATGATTATCCCATTACAATATTTCAACAAACATCTACCAAACTTTGAAAAACCATTTTTCAAAGAAACATTTACCAAACTTTGAACAATTTTCAAATAAACATTTACCAAACTTTGAAAACCATTTTTTCAAAGTTGGTTGTCAAACTTTGAACTTTTAATTTGGTGCATTGCTTGAATTTCAACATGACATCTGTTACTCCAGTATTACAATCATCATTCTCTATTTCCTCTAATTGAGAGTGCTCCAATTTAAATTCACTAATACATACATATATATTAGAAGGCAAAACTAATATAAGTTAGTAACTAAACTTTAATAAGATAATTAAGCACAATTTTAAGATTTATAAATTAGTCTCTAAAATTATACCTAAATTCATAATGGTCCAAAATTTAATGGGTATTTAGTGGATGTGGGGTGGGTAAGGTCTCAAACTCATCACCCGCCCATTACCCGCGACGAGTACCACTTTCTAAATCCACACCCGCCCACTACCCATTAAAGTTATACATATCCCCGCCCCAATTGGAGCGGATACGGTACGAAATTCACGGAATTGTACCCATTTACCATCTCTAACTATAATTGGGAGGGATTCTAGCTCCTTTATCCTTGATTTATATAACAAATTTATTAACTAATTATTAATTACCCTCAACTTTTTAAATAAATTATATTTTACCACTGACCTGGTATTTTAGCTACGTCACTGCTTATAGTGATAAAAAGTAGAAATTATAATATTGAATTGTGGGAGAGTGATGGAATATGAAAACCAGAGCGACTGGAACTGACTTCATTACTACCGACAGAGGTGGTAAGAAAATTAGAAAATGGTTGTTGTGATGGGCGTTGGTTGGCTACTCCAAATATTATTCTCCTTTTATGCTCCCACCACTCGGTCACTGGGGGATGGGGTATCTAACTCCAAACATTTTCATTCTACGACACTTTTATTAGGGAAAAAGAACAAATATGCCAAAAATATAAACAAGTGTTCCGATAATCATTCACATCATAATCTAAGTTGGCAAAAGCACAAACCAATGATCACCAGATGGATTATACTCTCCGTAGAATGGTCCAAATGTCACAGGCATGATATGGTATGGGATGTCATCACCATTCACCAAGGAAAAACATAGAATTTTATGAATTTATAAAATTTTAAAAGGCGAAAATAAATTATCATTATAAAATATAAATGCTAGCATTTAAGTTCTTCTGCATGTACTATGCAAATCAGCAACCAATTTAAATAATAGGAATGTTAGACCATGGGCTTGAAGCTAAACCCACAATTTCTACACAGCTAAAATGGAGCAAATTTGCCCCATAATCAAAGTATTCCATTCGGATACAACAAAATGAATCTGTAGCTGGGGTCAGCTTCCTTTGCTTCTTTATTCATCTTTCTTCCAAGATTTATTTTGATGGGAAAAAACTCAAAAAGAATGACGATGTTCCCCTCAAATTTATGCAAGTGTAGCTCTTACATCTTTCCTATCTGCTCCAAATGACTGCAGTTAAATAAGAACAAATAAAATTCTGTTAGAATAACCGACGAACAGGAAACAACGGTTGCCATGGTTATAACTTGGAATGGGCCAGCAACCAATTTGGATCAACAAGATAATTTCAAACTCCATACAACATTATATATAGAGGCAGAATACACATATACAATAGAATTGGGTCCCATTTGCCATCGAGTCCAGTGAAGTTTCCTCATCTATATCCAAGTGTAGCTTGGTTAAGAAATGAGAGTTTCCCTTAACCTTTTGAATTTGCTTAAAACCAGACTGCCAGCAAGAGTGAATCCCCTCATCCATTATAAAAGCTTCAAATATTGTTTGTGGATCACATTTAGCATGCTTGAGATGGTCATAAGATTCTAGAAAACTCAAGATGATTAATGGTTGCAAAGATTTGTGTAGGGATTGACACGCTTAAGATTTCAGTATCTGAACATTGTTTTCATATGATCGAAAATTTTAGACGACGACAACCACACCTATTCCACTATTCCTATGTATTAACCTCTCAATGTTTGAGCATGAGGCCAAAATAGAATTCCCTTTCAGGCACAACACAAAAGAATTTTAAGTCATGGTTCCTACCTATGGTCTTCAACTTTATTTTCAGCATCTAGGATCATCATGATGGATATTAAACAAAATCATGAAGACTGAAATTGAAAGGGATCAACATAACATTTTCCCCATGGACATAGAAGCCTACTAGCTTTCATTCGGTAATATCTTGCACATTTTTCATGGAAATCTTGGTACGAAATAAATGGGCTAACAATTAGACTAGTTTGGATTAACTAATTTTTCAAAGTAGATTCATGATGATATGTTTAAGCAAAGCTCTACATTTAAAGGATACCATTCTTATCTGATAGCAATGTTACTTCAAAAAGAAAAGGACAAAGGAGCTCATTCATTAATGAAAATCCACAACTTACCTAATAGGACGAAATAAGGAACATATGCAAATATAGGAAGTAAAAAAGAAAAGAACATGTATTATGTTTCATACCTCAACACCCAAACCTTTAGCGTACACATCAGTGAAGAGTTCAGAGGATTCAGGCACTGGATTTTCCTGGAATCAAAGAAAGGAGAAAGAACCAATGTTGGAAACATTCCTTCCACATACACTGACAATTTAAAATTTCTAAATAATATTATAATAAAAAATACATACATATAAACTTAAATACAATCATTTAAAATCAGAATCACAAAATCAAAATGAAGGCAACAAAAATTGTCTTACCTTAGCTTGCGCAACTGCATCGTCTACCTCTTTTCTTACTTCCTTCTCAATGTCCTGAAAAATTTCCCCATTGTTTTAATGTCTATCACCACAAAAGTCTTAACAAAATTTCATTACTGATAGTTTCATAGATGAACTTAAGTTAAAAATACCTTCAACTCTTTCTCAGTAGCTAGGTCATGCGACAATATTAGCTTCCTAATTCTTTCAATTGGATCACGCTCCTAGAAACATCGCATCTAGAATGTCAGTTTTGGATTCACTTGATTAAAATACATCAAATAATGAAATTTAACAAACAAATCCCTGGAAAAGTAATGTGGTTGAACATCAACCTGTCTAACACCAGAAATCTCATCACGGGTTCGATAGGTGCTTCCAGGATCAGACATGGAATGACCGTGATACCTATAAGTGTCCATTTCAAGAATCTGCATATAAGCAGCATGAATAAACGTAAGGATCAGACATTTTTTGTCAAATGTGGAAAAATTAATATATAAAAGGTGGAAAGCAAAAGAACACAGTGAAAAACTTAATAATTAAGAGGCGCATGAATAAACTTACAATTGGTCCATTCTTCAAGGCATGTTCTTTGGCAAATGTGCAAGCTTGCTTCACAGCAAGAGCATCCATTCCATCCACCTCAAGATATGACGCATATGAAAAATATAATTAAAGAAAGGAACAGACATTTTTTGTCAAAAATAATTGCTTCTTAAGCTGAACAAAAGGTTTTGGCTATAAAGATGAACTATAAAGTATTCTTTTTGCATTAGAACCTTACACCTTAGAAAAAAGCAAACGTAATTATTTAAGAACCAACGGTATAAGAAGTAAAAAGCCCTTGAGATTCTGCTTTTTTAAAACTTCAGCCAAACATTTAGGTTCTAATGTAAAAGGATAATCGAACAAATCAACAATATAAACCAGCACAAGAAGCTTCTCGCATAGCTCAAAATCACAACTATCACAGCTTTCCGCAATTGACTAATCACTATAATGACATATAAATTATAATGGTCGTAGTTACTTTAAAACCACATGCATCTAAATTCTCAATTACTTAATAATCAAAATAACATTACTAAATAACCAGAAAATCATATCTCAGCAAACCAACTCTCACCTTCAAACCAGGAGCATAATCTCCGCGTTTGTAGTAAGCAGGACTCTTCGCGGCTCGCCACTCTGCCGTCCCCATACCATCTGTTACATCAAATAAACAAATAAATAAAATTCACGAACTGCTGATACTTATAAAACAATAAAATTTCATTCCAATTCAAGCTGCTCACAATGATTATTCTCGCAGACCAAAATTGCAGGCAGATCCCAAAGTGCAGAGATATTCAAAGCCTCAAACAATTGCCCTTGATTAGCGGCCCCATCACCGTACAAAGCAAAGGTCACGGCTTCGTCTTTACAATACTTTTGAGCAAACGCCAAACCACATCCTAACGGAACCTGGGCTCCGACGATTCCGTGGCCGCCATAAAAATTTGAATCCTTCTTGTAAAAATGCATCGAACCTCCTTTGCCCCTAGAACACCCAGCCTGGCGTCCCATCAGTTCCGCGAAAACTTCCAGCAGGGTCCCACCGCGACCGACGAAGGTGCAATGGTCACGATAGGAGGTAATGATGCAATCCTTTTTAGTTAAGGCAGCCTCCATGCCGACGGCGACTGCTTCTTGGCCGTCGTACAAGTGGCAAAAACCGCGGATGAGTTTGGCCTTGTAGAGTGAATCAGCAGCGATCTCCATCCGACGCATCAGCGCCATGTCCCGGAAGAAGGTGAGAAGCTCATTTGCATTGGTCTGGACGGTGCGTGAGGGAGCTTCGCACTGGTGAGCGGTGAAAGGAACAGAGGTCTCCACGGTTATAGGAGTGGTGGCCGTCGAGATCGGACGTTGGAGGGGGATGGCCGACGAGAGGGTTTTCAGAAGATTGGCGGAGCGTGAAGAAGACAAATGGGCGAGCTGCGATAGAGCCATGTCGACCGTTGGATTGTGGGACGGAGGTCGGTCGGATCTGAATAGAGAGCGAAGGAGTTTGGCCGTTTGGATTGGTAGAACTATTTAAAGGGGAAGATTTTGTTTTTAAATGTATTTTCTATGTTGGTATTGGAGGAATTTTCAAGTCACGCTGGTGGGTGTGTGATTGGTGTATTTTGAATTTGTTTCTAAATGTGTAATTATGTTTGAGAAACTTTTCTCTTTTATAACAAGTCATTATCTATTTTAAGTACCAGAGTAACTTTATTCGGATTATAGTTGTAATATAATGAAAATTAGGGTATTTAGTACCTAAACTTTCATTTCTTTCAAAAGCATACCTAATATTTAGTTTATGTTTCATTTTAGTATCCACCATTAAAAACTTAACGGACGATGGACCACCGTATCCTCCAAGTTACTATGGACGGACGGAGGACCGATCTAAACGGTGGACCACGAGAGAATGACAAGTCGACCAACATAGTTCAATTCTAGACCCATCAGACGATGGACCATGAAGGTTGGAGGATGAAGAAATCGAAGAATCTATCGTCGATTCGGGGAGATTGAGACGTTTTCCAAAGAAACAGAAGCCGAAATCGCGTTTGGAGGTCGAAAAGGTACGAGTTGAAAAATTTGGGCTTCATCGACCGACCACTGTAGACGCGACGATCGACAAGCCCGTCCGTGAAGTTTTTAACGACGGTGGTAGTAAAATGAAACAAAAGCTAAACATTAGCTATAGTTTTAAAAAATGAAATTTTAAGTGTTAAAATTGATAATTTAGGTACTAAACGCATTGCTTGCCCTTGAAATTAATTAATTTTATATGTACACTTGTTTCAATTAAAAGATTACATATCATATAATTTAATAAAATCTAGTGGTTAAGAAATAGAATGAGAGTTATAATTTATAATGATTTAGATGATATGTAAAGTAGAGATTGATAACGATTTTGTGATTTATCTCTAAAGTAAAAATTCACTAATTGATTCATGTTTATTTTCTCAAATCCCCTCTTTCGATAGAAAAGAAAAAATATTTATATTTTAACACATGATATCGTGTGTGACATAATAATGTCAAAAAGGAACAGTCTTCTCTTAATATACCTTTGTATAGGTCACGATGGGTTAACTCTTTTAACATATTAGTTGTCTCTTAAAAATATAACTAACATTTTTAGGTCTGTTCCTATGATTATCCAAGTGTTGTAGTTGCTCAGTTATAACCCTTAGGCCAAGGAGAAATACAACACTCTTGTCCTCCTTTAGTCGATGTCGTATTTGTACAATAATGTGATCTACAATGTTTACCATTTAGTTAAGTTAAAAAGTTAATTCATTAAATGAACTTAATAATAAAATAGAGTATTATTTTCTCTTGAGGTTATGGATTCGAATAATTGTGTTTGCAGTGTGTATGTATTGTCAATGATTAAAAAAAATTATGAATAAATATTATCTTATAATCACCTAAAATTATTCAAAAAATAATTAAGTTAAAGTATGAAATGAATATTAAACTCAGGGATTGTTTGGGTTGATGACGAATAGGCTGATATAAATGGGATATATAGGGCACAAGGTTGTTGTGGTGTGCTTTCAAATCTTGTTGATCTGTTCTCTCTCAATTAGTTTGACAAAAATCATAAGAAAACTCCAGAGGTAACTTGGTTTTATTAAATTTATTAAATTAATACAAAATTTCTTTTTTAGCACTTATTTTCAGATCATTTACTGAGAAAAAAAAATGAAAATCACACATTATCACAACGAAAACGAATAGATCATTTTGCTGAATACAAAATGTACGAGGATAATTTTATTATTTTTCAGTAGAGGGATCAAAATATTATCAATTGTACGGTACATAGATCATTATCGTACTTCTACTAGGGAGTAAAAACGCCATTAAAAGTATGCAAATATTATAAATATTTGGGTAAGTTATACGTTTAGTACCTAAACTATCAATTTTATTTCGTTTTAGTACCTAAAACTTTATTTGTCTTAAAATCATACTTAACATTTACTTTTTATTTCATTTTAGTATCCCGCGATTAAAAACTTAACAGGACTACTACACATTAAAGTGTCATGTTATATCAGTCCTGCAAAGTTTTTAATAACAATGTACCAAAACGAAACAAAACAAAAAGTATATATTATGTATGATTTTGAAAAATTAAAAATTTAGATACTAAAACAAAACAAAATTAATAGTTTAATTATTAAATATGTAATTTATCATAAATATTTTATATAAACCAGACTCAATAAACTTGTACTCTGAATTCGACCAAACATAACCAAACCAAAAAAGTAGATATAGATATCTTATCTGGCCTTGCAGACTTTATAACAAAGTCCCTGAACTATATATATATGATTTCCATAATAGACATGTACAAATAGTACAAGGATCTAAATATTTTTTCAAAATATCCTTTAGGGTCCTTTTACAAAAAATATAATTTTTAAAAAATCCAAGTCAATCATCACTATCTCATATCTCCTTTTATACGTACAAATTTATAATTTTACAAATTATAAAATAAACCCATTATAAAATAAAATTTAGTTTACTTTTCAAGAATTTCCGTATTCACAAAACCAAAAACAAAAAAACCAAAATCAAAGATAAGTTTGAACGGTTCAAAGTATTTGTCAAAAGCAGACGGGGGCAGCTTCAACTAAAGGATAGAGCAGGATTTTACTCTAGGGATTAATGGGTGAATATCTGAATAAACATGTTTAATAAAATTATAGAAAATCATTTTTTTAATCCTACTCATTACTTATTTCTACATAATTTTCACAGAAAAAAAACATATGAAAATACCACAAGTGAAGAATTCGAGGATTCAGATATTCGATCATATGCGAATAAATAAAGCTAAATATTATTATCCAAAAGCAGAACCTAATTAAGAGAGAAATAATATGGATGAATGGATAATAAACATGTGTGTCATGTAATACGCCCGAAAGAAATATATCATATTACCTCTTATGTACAGTAGACGACCGTGGCTCAAATACCACCACCAACTTACACAGATTTAACTTACAGTTCTTAGAGCTCCCTCAAAATCTATTTCTTTATTTGGCTGCTCATATAATGATACTACATTGAACCATGATTTCATTCAGAGAAAACAAAAGTTTCCACTTGCTCGTCACTGTCAACTCTTGTACCCGGTCCCTAACGCCTGTGTTTGTATGTGATTAATGCATGACCCGACAGACAAACACAGAAATCTTATGAAAATGTCCGAGGATGTTTCATTTTTGTTTTTGAAAAAAAAAATTATTTAAATTGGAATCTAAGAAACTGAATTTAACTCATACGGGCAATTGCTTTGTGTTTCATTATTGTCCTTTAATTCTGAGCAAACAGAACAGCAAACGGATTCAGACGTACCATATCTACTTATGCTAGCGAAGTATATGCCAGGAGCAATCTTTGATATCGTTGCTGCCTTCGTAGTCTAATTGAATTACCGTTTGAAACCGTTGCTCGGTTATGGCACTGGTTGTTCTGATTGGAGGCTGGTTGTCGTCTAACTCGGAACAAAATATCTTCCGTATCCAAAACATAAGAGACCTATCAGGTATCAATTCTAGTCATTTAACTTATCATATACATCAATTTACAAGAAAATACAACCTTGTGGGAAAAGAAAAGTAAATTCCACCAATATGAGAAGGAATATGTAATTAGATATACCTTGGAAGAATTGCAAGCAATCTTGCACTCCAAACCATTAACTATTTTAAGTCCTTCAGTCGCCCAACATGTTGAAGATAGATCATCACCACCCGCACATTTGCGTATATTCCTGCAAACATCATACTTATATATCATGATAACTTCACAAAGTAAATGCCGACAACCACGTCTATAGTCCTTAATCAATATACCTCTTCAAGAAAATCCCGGGTTTCTCTTTTTCCTCGGGAACAACTGAGAGAAAGTCATTGTGCAAATATGCTGCAAAATTAGGGTCCATGGAAACAGCCGTCACTTCAGGCTTATCATGTCCATAGTCCATAAGCTGGATGGAAAGACAAGTTGGCCTCGATGACTGCAAACAAAAAAAATGCAGTGCATGTGAGAGTCCTATATTATAGTTCAAATATACCATCCAGAAGAAAAAGAGAAAAGGTAAGTCTTACACATTCAATGCGATATATATTCTCATCATGAAGGAGAACACGAACATTTTCATGATAAACAACATCAAATCTTCTAGATTTTCTTAAATTCTCATATGCATACAGTTGAAGGAGTTTATTGTCCATTTCATCACTTGCAATGGCTTGAAGCTGAGACAAGCACCACGAAGATGGCAGAGATAGGGTCAGGAACACATAGGGAAAGAAAGGGGGAAGTTAGGGGGGAAAAACAGCATTACCTGTTTGACAATTTTAAATATCAGCTTATCCAGCGTGAATAGAACGTATGACTGAGTGCCGATGATAGCTCGACAATCATCTTCAAATTTTGTATTATCAGAAGAGCCATCGAGTAAATTGTAAAGTGCACTCATGAACCTGTATCATAAAAGAGTTTAAATGAAAACAAGTACTGACAACTTTTTTAACATTTGCCTGCACCAACATAAGTTGAACTATATTACCTGGCATAGAGATCTGTAGGACTTGGATCACTAGAAGCCCTCCATTTCCTATCAGCAGATGATGAATTAACCTTTGCTGATTGTATTCTCTCATACAATGTCTGTTAAAATTGTAAAAGGGTTACAGAGTTGATGAACAAACTATACAAGAAATATCCATTAGGATAAGCTAAAATAATAGCAATTCAACAAAATGCTACGTACTTGGTGGAGCCTAAAAAGCACATAAAATGAGTCATTTCCATAAAAAACTCGTGAATCCTTCTTGTTCTCGTGTAATGCTAAAGGGACATGCTTTGCAAGGGGCTTTACATTCAGTAGGAAACGTTCAGAAAATGGTAACAATGTTCCATCTCCTTCCACGTCATGGGCATCAGCCGTCCCTTCAGCTTCACCTTCACTCTCTACTTTATTAT